CCACTCGCAGTCGAGAGCCACCCGGACACAAAGACCTCGTGCCAGCTGCAGACCCAAGTTTCTCCCAAGCCCTGGGGGCTCGGCCCGCGTTCACCGCGGAAACAAACAGATCGGTGCTCGCTGATGCGCCCTGGGACCTGGGCCCCCAGGAGGAGACCAGCTTTCTTCCGCAGCCGGGTTGTGCCCCTCCTCCCCCAAGCTCAGTCCACTCTCCCCTCCACCCGGACACAAAGACCTCGTGCCAGCTGCAGACCCAAGTTTCTCCCAAGCCCTGGGGGCTCGGCCCGCGTTCACCGCGGAAACAAACAGATCGGTGCTCGCTGATGCGCCCTGGGACCTGGGCCCCCAGGAGGAGACCAGCTTTCTTCCGCAGCCGGGTTGTGCCCCTCCTCCCCCAAGCTCAGTCCACTCTCCCCTGGCTGCTCGCCCCTGGGGCTAGCCTAGGGATGCGGGGGAAACTGAGGTCCCGAGAGTGCCACATCCCGGGGGCTCTCTCATTAGAGACACCAGAAGGAAAAAGGGGGTTTTCCTTCTCCTGGGTCCCCTCCGGATCGCTCCTTGTCCTGCGGGGACTAGCGGAGATTAGTGGCAAATCCAGAACCCCAAGCTAGACTTCTGGGCTTCCAGGGATCTTGGGGCCGGTGCCTTGGGGAGGGGAGGCTACTGGGGTGAAAAATCCGGGAAGAGTGGGGGCCCTGGGTCTCCGGGTACCTCCGTCGGCTGCGCTTGGACTCCGCTCTAAGGGCTGCAGATCGAAGCTCCGACAAGTCTCCACGTCCAGCCCGAGAGGGGGCGGCCGGGCCCGGCACAGCGAGGCCAGGACGGTGAGCGCCGCCTGGCACCGAGGCCCTCCGGCCCCCCACACCTCGCTCATGCCCTGGACCTACTCAGGCCTTGCTGAGCAGCCGCTCGAACCCCCGCCGCGGCCGGACTGGGGAGGGGCAAGGCGGCCCCAAGAAGACCCTCCCCGCAGCGGCCCCCTGCGGCTTGGTTCTGCTTTTAATCACTTCCCCTCAGGGTCCCCGCCCCTCACGTGGCATCCCGCAGCAGCTGGCAAGTCTGGCGCCTTAGGGCCGCCCCCACCACACTCAGGGACCTGCCTGAGTCCCGTAGGGTTCCAGCCCCGCTATTCTGCATCATGAAGGGTTCAAGGCCGGAGAAAGAACCCAGGTCCCGCTGGGCAATCACTATAGGTGTGACCTTGGGACTCTTTGGGCCTCAATTTTCCTTTCTGTATAAAAGGTATAGTGACTACGAGTGCCTCAGGAGCTCCCTGGGACTATAAAGATAGTGCTTGTGAAAACATAGGGTAAAGTGTCGCATTCCACACAAGTGGCATCGCAATGGATAGCACAGCATAAAAAGGGGAGGTCCCACAGCAGGCGGGAGGACACTGGCCGAGGTTATTGACGCGAGAAGTTAGTCATACTTGCCCCAAGTCTCAGCTTCGGAGATGGAAGACCCCAAGACTACGCAGCGATGAAAACTGCAAAGACTTTGAGAGCCCCGCAATCCTGCGGTCCGTGGCACCCTCACGTTGCTATGGAGACGGAAGGCAGCGGCCGTCTCTCTCCATGGCAACAGGAGGAGAAAGTTTCTGGCCAACAGGAATGGGGGTATTTCAAGACGGTGTTCGGTTCCCGCCAGACCCACCTTTCCGCATCAAGGTAAACCCACCAAAAACATATTTTTTTTGTAAAGCACGCACAGAACCAGAGCCAAAAAGACAGAAAACTAAACAGGGGGATTGAGGCTAGACTTTAAAAGCCACTTCCTTCAGGAACTGTGGAGCGAAGCCCAGAGCAAGGCGAGTCGGGGGCTTCGAGATGCCTCAGTCAGCCCTGGAAATCTAGGAGCCATCGCTAACTGCCAGGGGACTGGGCCTTGTAGGACTTTATCACAGTATAGACTGTTGTCCTCTGCCTGTCTGCTGTGTGGCCCCTTTCCGAGTAAAGCTCGTACGAAGTTCCAGCCTCAAGTCTCTTTTCTGGGATCTAGGAAGGAAACTTTAGCTTGCAGCCCCTGCAATCGCAGGACTGGTGTGTTCAGGGATGAGTGGTGGTGGGGAGAAGGGTCTTTCATCTGAATTAGCACACTAAATTGCAAGTGGCTTGGACTGTGACTCACGTTCTGGAGAGAGGAGGTTCGGAACCCCAGCTCCTGGCGATCTCCACCGTGCAGCCTCCGTGCCGGTCACACCAGCGAACTCTTGTATTTGCAAACCCCCGGGCAGCGAGTGCCCCGGGCACCAAAGACCAAGCAGAGACCTGGAGGGATCGCCATACAGTTTTTCCTTTGGTGACCAGCGCCCTATCCCTGTCCGCGGTGCTGAAGGTCCAGATGGTGCATCCAAGAGCTGGAGGTCGGGGTGTTGAAGGAGGGGAGCGGAGGGGGTAGCTTAGCAGGTTCCCAGCTTCCAGCCGGGACCCTGGTGCCCTCCCATCGAGAGGTGTAGGACCTTGGGCGGGAGGGACTGAGGAGGTTTGATCCATAAACATTATTAAATTCGGACCACTCTCCTACGGGTGGTGTAGGGTTGCTGTTCCTACAACGCGTAAGGTTCTGTCTTTCCACTCTTCCACCCACCTGAGGAACCCAGAGGCACCATCACCTTCCCTTCCACCACCAATGCAGACCTCAGTTCCAGGGAGAGAGACCGGAGTTCTGAGACCCCTGGCTACATGCTCATTAGCAGCTTCCAAAGCGAGGGTTTCGTGTTTATGTAAAACACAAATGGAGATGAAACTCGCTGCTCGTGTTTATGGCAACTCTGTCACTCCGGGCGATTTCTCCCTCCCCCTCCCGAGTTCCAGGGGACATTTGCAGAACAAAACCTTGTTTTGCCTTTGCAGAGAATGAAAAAACACAAACCTGTTCCAAGGGCCCAGGCCTGTGATGCAGAGAAATCAATATTTTGCTTACATTGAGTGGGGGAATTTGTATCAAAACTGAAGGCAAAGGAGCCTGTTCGGAGCAGAGCAGGTGGCAGGAGCCGAGAATTAACAGATAATTTCTCATTGTTCCTGGATTCATCCTCCACACAGGCGGCTCTGCAGTGTCTCCAGCAGTAGCTCGGGACCTGGCATTTCTCAACCTAACAGAGCGAAAGAGGTTCTGCCCTGACAGGGCTGCCGGAAACAGCTAGAGCTCCAGGGCTGCTATTGCATTTGGAGTACCAGAGTAACTGTGTGAAAGAGATGGAGACAGTGACCAGAGGAAAGCCAAAGACAGAGGAGACACACACACACACACACACACACACACACACAGAAAGGGACATATTCAGAAAGTGGCATTAAAAATATTTCTTCTTACATTAAGATGGAGCTTCACCCTAACTATTCTCTTCCAGCCCCACTATCAGTTCCCAATACCACTGCGGTAAAGAGCCAGCAACAAAACAGAAAAAATTCTAAAAATCTCTAAAGCCCAACCCCCAAGTACATCTAAAAGTCTTCCGGTAAGAGGAAACCAAATTCAGACTCCCAGGGTGGCTCCCAAATGCTTGGAGGGAAGAAGGCAGAAAGAAGTGTAATTGTTGTGGCTCAACCTGCTCTGTGGAGAAAGACCATGCTGAGTTCAGGTTTAGGAGTGTGGAGGAGAGAACAGAGACAATATGACAAACCAGGACTTCAGACAGGGTACCCGGAGTCTTCTGTCAGCCTCAATGTCCTTTTGTGAAAATTCAATTAGGAGTTCCTTGAGGGTAGAAAAGTGTGAGTTTCCAGGTGTTCAACTCACTTTTGGCTTCCTCTCCCCAGTGACTCTCTTACAGCTCTGGCCAGATCATCTTGAATTCTGGGCCTCCAGACCAAACTGTTCAGAAGCACAAAGGGAGGGCCTGGAGAAGGGATGGGAGGCAGACAGACAGGTCTGAAACAGCAACCTTAGTCTTAGGCTCTTGCTTGCTCTTCTCTCCCCAGATAGCCAATGTGCACGTTCCCACCCCCCATGCCCATTCTCTGCGCTTGGGCAGGCACCCACCCTGCTCTGAGCAACAATTAAGTCTTGTTAAGTTATGCTACAAAAAAATAAATGAGGACCACATCATAATTTTTTTAAAAATTTGAACCGTGGTAGGAAATTGCTAATGCTGTAGGCGGGAAGAGTGAGCTCCTTTGACATGAACTGATGTGTCACGTTGTCTTTCCATCTCAATGCAATTTCTAAATAGGGAGCCCTCTCCCCAGTCCCTCCTCCCTTCAAGTCAGATGTAAAGGGAGCTTCTGACGCTCATAGCTGGATTGTCTGACATGCAAGGAGAGGCATAGGGAAATAGACATGAGGGGTCTACTGCTTTGTCAAGTGCAACAGAGCCACAGGGGCTCTGACCCAGCCTTGAGGACCCCCATTTGCTCTCTCTCATTCCCTGCTTTCTGAGTTATGCTCTCAGATCAGAGAGGGATATCTAAAAATTATACTGTCCAGAGGCTAACCTCTATTTTTTTTTGGCTGGACCAGTCTCTGAAAATAGCCAAGAAGGAATTTATCTCATTTAATCCTTACAACACCACCTAGAGGTAGAACTGGTGAATGCTAATTTTCCATCCAGAAGATGAGGAAGTTAATAGGTCAGTCCTTGATTTTGCAAGCCAAAAGGTGGCAGAGAACTGGAACCCATGTTGGTCCCTCCCTTCTTCTCCATGTTGGAAGGAGGTGATGGGGATGTAAAAATTTTATCTTTTCCTTAAAAGAGTATGGTATTTTAAAAGTGGCTTTATAAGATACTATAACTATTTGGAAATAAATTATAGAGTAACAGAAGATGTAGTCCTGTGTCTCTTCAAAGATCTTGGCTCACTGATCTTAGTTATTCCAAATGCCTCTTGGACCCAGTCACTGAGCTAGAGGAAAAGTCAATGTCATTGATAAAGCACAGGGCCAGGGCTAGTCAGCTCCTCTGCTCAGAATTTTACTTGATTCCTTCATTTTTGACAGAGCCAGGACTCCCCAGAGGGCCACTTGAGAGTCACTGTTATACCTGGCATGCTCAGAGCCCAGCTTCCAGGAAAGGGCCAAGCCAAGAATCTTCTAAGACCAGGACCTTTGTGGCTGGAATTCTCCCTAGAGAGCCTGCAGAGAGTTTGTAATCTTGAGACTCTGGCTGTTCTACTAATGAAGGGAAACCAGATAAAATGCCCAAAGTAATTAAAGTGACACATTCGAAAATCTCTGCCAAAACTGGGATGTCTTAATCCTTTATTTCAACAGAATTCAGACAGCAAGCTTTGGGTCAAGGGGCTGAAATCTCCCCCATGGAATGGAGGGACCAAAGCTTCTGGTAGAAATAAAGCTGTTCACCACATTTTAGCTTCCCTCTACACAGTGCAATAACCCACCCCACCTTTTTTTGGTCTTTTTGAGACAGGGTCTCCCTGTAGCCCCAGCTGTCCTGGAACTCACTATGTAGACCAGGCTGGCCTTGAACTCACAGAGATCCGCCTGCCTCTGCTCCCCCCAGTGCAAAACCTCCCAAGCCTCATCTATACTGCTATGGCTCAAGTACAGTGACTGGCTGAGGGGGTCGCCCTTTCCTTCACTAACAATTAGTTTGTACATTTGTAAAGTAAGATGCATTTTACACAACACTCTCAGCTATTACCTCCTTTTATACTCCCAGCAACCCTGAGAGTCCTGTATATTACATAGTCTCATTTCACAAGTGAGGCCCCAAAGAAGGTAAAATAGTAGATCTGGGATTCATAGCCAACTAGTAACAGAACTCTAGCCTATGTCTGACTGTCTCTCTGTCTCTGTTTATCTCTCTCTCTTTTTTTCTCTTTCTCTGTGCTTACTGAAGTCCTTACTAAGACCCAGTCTCTGCAGTATACTAGGATACAGTCTTAAGCTGTTTTCTATACATGACTGCCTTCAAACACACAGGGTGCAGAGTCCTGACCTCTGCTCCAGGCTGCTATCCTGAGGAGGTGCACTGGATTGCTGTGGAGAGAGACCACGTGTGAAATTGATTTCA